TGTAGCCAATCATTCTGACTCAGAGTCCTTCCTGGTGGGGCATGCATCACTCAGCCAAGATGGATGCCAGAGAGGATTCTGGGAGGTGATTGGACGCATGGTGTCTCCTTTTCACCGTTCCTGAACTCTCCCTATGACCAGTGTGTTTTCTTGGCAAAACTTTGTTAGCCTTTGCCCTGCTTCATTCTGTACTCCAAGGCCAAATTTGCCTGTTACTCCAGGTATTTCTTGACTTCCCACTTTTGCATTCCAGTCCCCTATAATGAAAATGACATCTCCTTTGGGTGTTAGTTCTAGAAGGTCTTGTATTTCTTCATAGAATCATTCAACTTCAGCTTCTTCAGCATTACTGATCAGGGCATAGACTTGGATTACTGTGATATTGAATGGTTTGCCTTGGAAATGAAGAGATCATTCTGTCGTTTTTGAGATTGCACCCAAGTACTGCATTTTGGACTCTTTTGTTGACTATGATGGCTACTCCATTTCTTCTAAGGGATTCCTGCCCACAGTAGTAGATATAATGATCATCTGAGTTAACTTCACTCATACCAGTCCATTTTAGTTTGCTGATTCCTAACATGTTGATGTTCACTCTTGCCATCTCCTGTTTGACCACTTCCAATTTGCCTTGATTCATGGGTGTAACAATCCAGGTTCCTATGCAATATTGCTCTGATGCTGTAAAGCATCAGACTTTACCTCCATCACCAGTCACGTCCACAGCTGGGTGTTGTTGCTTTGGCTCCATCTTTTCATTCTTTCTGGAGTTTTTTCTCTACTGATCTCCAGTAGCATATTGAGCACCTACTGACCTAGGGAGTTCATTTTTCACTGTCCTGTCTTTTTGCCTTTTCATACTGTTCATGGAGTTCTCAAGGCAAGAACACTGAAGGGGTTTGCCATTCCCTTCTTCAGTGTACCAGGTTTTGTCAGAACTCTCCGCCATGACCTATCTGTCTCCAGTGGCCCTACAGGGCATGGCTCATAGGTTCATTGAGTTAGACAAGGCTGTGGTCCATCTGATCAAATTGGTTAGTTTTCTGTGATTGTGGTTTTCAGTCTGCCTTATGATGGAGAAGAATAAAAGGCTTATGGAAGCTTCCTGATGGGAGAGACTGACTAAAGGGGAAACTGGGTCTTGTTCTGATGGGTGAGGCCATGCTCAGTAAATCTTTAATCCAATTATCTGTTGATGAATGGGGCTGTATTCCCTCCCTGATATTTCAGTTCAATTCAGTTCAGTCCCTCAGTCATGTCCGACTCTTTGTGACCCCATGAATCGCAGCACGCCAGGCCTCCCTGTCTATCACCAACTCCCGGAGTTTACTCAAACTCATGTCCATCAAGTCAGTGATGCCATCCAGCCATCTCATCCTCTGTTGTCCCCTTCTCCTCCTGCCCCCAATCCCTCCCAGCATCAGGGTCTTTTCCAATGAGTCAACTCTTCGCATGAGGTGGCCAAAGTATTGGAGTTTCAGCTTCTGCATCCGTCCTTCCAAAAAACACCCAGGACTGATCTCCTTTAGGATGGACTGGTTGGATCTCCTTGCAGTCCAAGGGACTCTCAAGAGTCTTCTCCAACACCACAGTTCTAAAGCATCAATTTTTCGGCGCTCAGCTTTCTTCAAGTCCAACTCTCATATCCATACATGACCACTGGAAAAACCATAGCCTTGACTAGACAGACCTTTGTTGGCAAAGTGATGTCTCTGCTTTTTAATATTCTATCTAGGTTGGTCATAACTTTCCTTCCAACGAGTAAGCGTCTTTTAATTTCCTGGCTGCAGTCACCATCTGCAGTGATTTTGGAGCCCAGAAAAATAAAGTCAGTCACTGTTTCCCCATCTGTGTGCCATGAAGTGATGAGACCAGATGCCATGATCTTAGTTTTCTGAATGTTGAGCTTTAAGCCAACTTTTTCACTCTCCTCTTTCACTTTCATCAAGAGGCTCTTTAGTTCTTCTTCACTTTCTGCCATAAGGGTGGTGTCATCTGCATATCTGAGGTTATTGATATTTCTCCCGGCAATCTTGATTCCAGCTTGTGCTTCTTCCAGCCCAGCGTTTCTCATGATGTACTCTGCATATAAGTTAAATAAGCAGGGTGACAATATACAGCCTTGACGTACTCCTTTTCCTATTTGGAACCAGTCTGTTGTTCCATGTCCAGTTCTAACTGTTGCTTCCTGACCTGCATACAGGTTTCTCAAGAGGCAGGTCAGGTGGTCTGGTATTCCCATCTCTTTCAGAATTTTCCACAGTTTATTGTGATCCACACAGTCAAAGGCTTTGGCATAGTCAATAAAGCAGAAATAGATGTTTTTCTGGAACTCTCTTGCTTTTTCGATGATCCAGGGGATGTTGGCAATTTGATCTCTGGTTCCTCTGCCTTTTCTAAAGCCAGCTTGAACATCTGGAAGTTCACGGTTCATGTATTGCTGAAGCCTGTCTTGGAGAATTTTAAGCATTACTTTACTAGCATGTGAGACGAGTGCAACTGTGCAGTAGTTTGAGCGTTCTTTGGCATTGCCTTTCTTTGGGATTAGAATGAAAACTGACCTTTTCCAGTCCTGTGGCCACTTCTCCTTTTTCCTGGGTCCTGGTGCACACGGTTCTATCTGTGCCCTCCAAAAGTCTGTCTCCCCAGGCCTGTGTAAGTTCTGGCGGCTCTGTGGTGGAGTTAATGGTGACCTCCTCCAAGATTGCTTATGCCATACCCAGGTCTGCTGCACCCAAAGCCCCTACCCCTGCAGCAGTCTACTGCTGACCCCTACCTCTGTAGGAGACACTCAAACACAGTTTTGTCTTAGTCTCTGTGGAGTCTCTGGGTCCTGAGGGCATAAAGTTTGAGCCCTCTGAGCATCTCTGAGTGCTTGCTCCTTGGAAGAAAAGTTATGACCAACCTAGACAGCATATTAAAAAGCAGAGACATTACGTTGCCAACAAAATCCATCTAGTCAAAGCTATGGCTTTTCCAGTAGTCAGGTATGGATGTGACATTTGGACTATAAAGTAAGCTAAGCACTGAAGAACTAATGCCTTTGAACTGTGGTGTTGGAGAAGACTCTTGAGAGTCCCTTGGACTGCAAAGAGATCCAACCAGTCCATCCTAAAGGAAATCAGTCCTGAATATTCACTGGAAGGACTGATGCTAAAGCTGAAACTCCAATACTTTGGTCACATGATGTGAAGAACTAACTCATTGGAAAAGACCCTGTTGCTGGGAAAGATTGAAGGCGTGAGGAGAAGCGGACGGCAGAGGATGAGATGGTTGGATGGCATCACCGACTCAATGGACATGAGTTTGAGTAGGCTCTGGGAGTTTGTGATGGACAGGGAGGCCTGGCGTGCTGCAGTCCATGGGGTTGCAAAGAGTTGGACACAACTGAGCGGCTGAACTTACCTGAACTCTCCCTGTTGGTGATGGCTTATTAGTTCCGTATTCCTTACCAGGACTTCCAGTCGTAAAATGACTCATACAAATGGTTACGAGGATGCCTGGCCAGGGTGGGCCGTTTCAGTCTGTGTTCATCCCCTAACAATTGTATTACTGAAAGCTCAGCCTCTTTGTACATCAGAGCAAATCAATTCCTGGAGACAGAGTCTTGGGTGAAGTAGAAAAGAACAGCTTTACTACTTTGCCAGGCAAAGGGAGACACATCAGGCTCCTGCCTCAAAAAGCTATGTGTCCCAACCTGGGAGGATTTGAGGATGGGTTTTATAACAATGATTCATAAGCAGGGCCTCTGACAAGATTAATGTGTGAGCAAGGCTGAAGCTGAAGCTCCAGTACTTTGGCCACCTGATACGAAGAGCCGACTCATTGGAAAAGACCCTGATGCTGGAAAAGATTGAAGGCAGGAGGAGGAGAGGATGACAGAGGATGCAAGGGTTGGATGACATCACTGACTCAATGGACATGAATTTGAGCAAGCTTCGGGAGATGGTGATGGACAGGGAAGCCTATTGTGCTGCATGCAGCCCACGGGATTGCCAAGAGTTGGACATGACTGAGAGACTGAAAAACAAGAACTTGCACTCCCTTATCTTGTCTCAGGTGGGGGTCTCCCAATCTTGATGAACTGCTCTAGTCCCTTTAATCTTGTCTCAGGTGGTTTCTTGGCTGCTCCTCCCCTAATTAGCAACTGTTAGAAGCTGCCCTTTGGAACTTAGGGAAAGCCACGGAGGCTGGAGTCTTGCCCGCAAGAAATGGGAGATGGAAAAGCTTCAGTGCCTGGGAGACCCACAGGGCCCTGCTCGGTTTCAATATTTATATATTATGCCTTTGCTATCTTTTCATTATTTTACATGTTGATCAAAGTAACGTCATTCTTATTTTACTAGTTTCTAATTTTTTTCTTGAACATTTTTCCCCTTTAGGATTTGAAAATTAGTAATAGGAATGATCATTCTCTCATCTTCAACTTTTAGATTGTTTACTTTTTCCCCTTTGGCTTTGTGGTATCTCCTTGATCTCTATAATCATTATTTTTTATGCACTAGATGTGTGTGGTGATTACAAGGATGCTTTATGACACAGAGAAAGGCTCACAATTTAAAGTCTCAAAAAAATAAGGTAAAATAAAGCAGGACTCAAAATTGCAAGTACAGGGATTTCCAGGTTAAAAATCCACCTTGCAATGCAGGGCAATGTGCGTTCAATCCCTGGATGGGGAACTAAGATCTCACATGGCTGCAGAAAAACTAAGCTGAGTGCCACAGCTAATGAGCTTAAGCCACAAGGAAGATCCTGTGTGTAGCAACTAAGTCCCAGTGCAGCCAAATAAATAAATGAAATATTAAGAAGAATTCTAAGTACAGTGGAAACCCAAATGACTATTTAAACATTTTTTGTTTTACACTATCCCAAAATATTGACAGACATCACTCTGGGTAGTGAGATTATGAATAATTTTTTTTAAGATTTCTGTGTATTTTTTATGTTTTCTGCAAAACATATATGTTTTATGTATTTATTTGAATCATAGCCAAAAGTTGGAAGTGAAGCCAAAGGGGTGATTTTGTTGAAGAATTCCTACAGCTGCTAAGGGTTGTCCATCCACAAGAAGACTTCCCTTACAGCCCTGTCTTGAGGCACCTGTTTCTGGTTTTCTGGTGGGCAGCTGGTAGGTTTGTGTAGAGAGCATGAGTGTAGGAGCTTGTGTGTGTAGGGGGGCGCCGGGGGGTGCACAGTAATCCAAGGGAGAGGTCTGACAGTCTGATTTCTCCTGGGAGGTACCAGAGCTCTCTTAGTCTATGGTTAAAAGCAGTGCTATTTAGAATAGAATGGAAATAACATCTGGATCCACATAGAAGTTATCTGGTCCAGGTCACTCTCAATCTTAGATTCATTTTCCCAAAAAAAGGTAATTGAACAAAGTCCGGGCCTTTTAAATCAGATTGGTAGTGTACTATTAGATATATTTTTCAGCCTCACTTTGCTTAATTTTCCCAATCATTAAGGGCTAAATAATAATATTATTATTTAGCAGAATATCTCCTGCTATCTCATTAAAGTGTCCTGAGGATTTAGGAATAAATGTCTCCTGTACATTTTTTTTTTTTTTTTGGCTACTTCATAGGCCACAGGAGCTCTTTATAACAAACTAAGTTGCAAAGACATATAGGTTAGAAAGAAGTGTGTGTGTGTGTGTGTGTGTGTGTGTGTGTGTGTGTAATATGCTTTCCTTTTTCTTTTACCTTTCCAGGCTTTATTCCATTATTATTCCTTCTGGGAAATGAAACAGAATGACTGAAGTCCTGTCGTGTCGAAAGGTTTGTTTAATGACTGTCCCATGTGAAAATATGCAGTGTTAACTGAGAAGCATGACTGATGGGACTGTGGAGGCCCATCGGACTGACTCATTTATCAGATACTAAAGAGTGGTTTCATAGATTGGGTTTTCTGGTCATTTTTCAATAGAATTAAAGCCTGAGCAATTATAAGAAAAACAAAAAACTCTTAGGGTTGTTGTTTTTTTTTCTTGGATAGGGTCATCTAACCATTTGGGAGCCCTAACATAATAATCTGTGATTTTTTTTCCCCCAAGCTCATTTTTGTCACAAAGAGCAGAAATGTGTGAATGAACATAAAACAACAACAAATTCCTATGTCAAATAAACATAAAGGAAAGACATTTTCAAGGGACTATTTTATGAGAGTTAATATATAGAGTGCAATTCTTGTCGATTGATCATATTCCGTTTTATTCAGGCTCAGGCTTCTGGTGAGCTTTTGGGTTAACAGACAGAAAATGAGATGATACAATTCTGATAATATATCATTCTTGTATGAACCCCCTCATCATTATGTCTAAACTGGCAATCTCTTTAGTTGAGTTGGGCACAACTTATGGCTCCATGCACCAATTACAAGGATATAAAATTAATGTAATGGTTCCTTCCTGGTGGGCCAGGGGCTAAGACTCTGTGCTTCCAATGCAGGGGGCCTAGGTGCAATTCCTGGTCAGGGAACCAGATCCCACAAGTTGGAACTAAGAGTTTTCATGCCACAGCTAAAGATCCCACATGCCACAAGGAAGATCGAAGACCCAGTGCAGGCAAATACATAAATATATATTTTTTAATAAAAAATAATATAAAATTAATGGAAGATATTTCATATGTGAGGTGGAGAGAGTAAAAAAAGTGAAAGTGTTAGTTGCTCAGTTGTGTCTGACTCTGCAACCCCATGGACTATAGCTCACCAGGCTTCTCTGTCCATAGGATTTCCCAGGAAAGAATACTGGAGTGGGTTGCCATTTTCCTTCTCCACGGAATCTTCCCATCCCAGGGATCAAACCCTGGTCTCCTGTACTTCAGACAGATTCTCTACCTTCTGAGCCACTGGGGAGAGAGTTAGGACTGATGAAATAACAAGATCTATTATTGTTATTAATAATTGTTCAGGTCTACAATGTGTAGTCCTTTGCATTTGTACTCATCACATCTGATGTTTCCACATTGCTAACATGTGTGCCTTTCATGTATGTAGTTTGAGGAGGGAGCAATGGATCTGTGCTACTGTAGACATGGGAGGTTGCATTCTAATCACCAAGCTATGACCCAATAAAACCAGCATCTCACACAGGATCAGGACGGAGTTCTAATTCAGCCTTCTGTCTTGAATTGCTCACCCATCAACACAGAGCTGCTATATCTGAGCTGTTTTGAAAGTCTGGCGTGCTCACCAGAAACTGGCGGCAAGCCATTTTCTATGGAGATGTTTGTTTGGTGTTTAAAACATGCAAAACTTAGCATCTTTGGTAAAGTAGAAAAACAACAGTTTCTTATTCATAAATAATGATACTTTTCTGGACAAAAAAAGTCAATAAAAAACCTGGTTTGAAACTAGACTTTTTTCCAGTATGAATAAGAGTTCAATTATTTTTCTCACTCAAGCTTTGGGCTTGCGTCTCTCTTTTTGGACAGTTTTGTGTCTCATTTCTTGTACAGATTTCTATTGCCTTCATGGCTTTCACAGAGAATTTAATCCTTGGCAGTGAAAAGAAAGAATCCCAGGGGGCAACTGGGGGGAGGTGGGAGGGACTAGCTTAGTTGAAGGAGTTCAATTTGAATTGAAAAATCCTTTAGTCATGCCAACGATGTGAAATCATCAAAGACACAAAGATCTTACCCAGTAAAAACAGAGGTAAACCTTGGCCTTGCAGGAAGCACTTTCTCTTTTCATTGCTCAAAACTGTGATGTCAATCTTGCAGTAGGTTATCCTTGAAAGAGAATATTACTCTCACCTTTTAGAAACCCTTTGCTACTTTACAGTGTGATTATATGTGCTTCTAGAGAGCTGCGATGATTGAATACAAATTTGCACATCTTTTTCAGGTTTAAGCTAAAATTGTTTTCCGCAGTATCTACTGATTCAGGATGTGAAATTATATTCTCAATGGATCTCACTCAGATCTTATTTTGCGCATGTATTTTCACCTATCTTCTTCCTCGACTGTACCAGGTAGTTCTTTGGTTGTAAGCAACAGTAATTGCCTCTGGTAAATCTAAGCAAGAAAGGAATTTATTGGGATTTCCCTGGTGGTCCAGTGGTTAAGATTCCATGCTGCCAGTGCAGGGGGCATGGGTTTGACCCCTGGGCAGGGAAGTTCCATATGCTGAGTAGCAAGGTCAAAAAAAAAAAAAAAAAAGGAAAANTGGGCAAAGTCAGGAAGCTCAAAGGATTGAAGAGAGAAGACTGAAGATCCAGTGTCAGAAAGGACTGAACCAAGCAGCTCACGAGTCTCCACAGCGTGAAAGTCTCAACAGCTGCATCTAGAAGCAAGGATTGGGATTCCAAAGAGAGAGGGTTTGACTGGCTTAACTAGGGTCAACTCTTCTCTCCTTGGTTGGGGGAAGGCACCCCGCTTCTGAACAATAGTCCCACCAGATGGTATCCGAATGGGAGGATGTAATCGAAAAGGGTAAATGGAGGATGCTATTACTGAAAGAACGTGGACTGAAAGCTAAAAGAAATAAACCCAAAATAACAAGAACAGCAAAAAACAAACAAATGAGTACCATTCCCTCCCCTTTCCATTCTACTCTTTTTCTCCTTTTGTATGTTTTCCTCTCTTCATTTCTCCTTTATCTTCTCTGTCTTTCTTGTCTCTTCCTTTTCCTTGCCCTTTAAAACTTGTTATCTTGGCTGGAACTTTTGCCATTGCTCTTGCTTCTTTGCCAGAGACCCTAACATAAAAATTGTATCACCCCCCTAAATGGGAAAGAAATCCAATATACATATACATGTATATGTATATATCCCCTCTTTTTCTGATTTCTTAAATGAACAATGCAAAGAAGTAGAGTTAAAAGAATGGGAAGACTAGACTAGAGATGTCTTCAAGAAACTTGGACGTATCAAGGGAACATTAAAAGGACAGGCATGATAGAGGACCTAACAGAAGCAGAAGAAATTAAGAAGAATACACAGAACTCTACCAAAAAAAAAAAAAAATCCTAATGATTTGGGTAACCATGATAGTGTGGTCACTCACCTAGAGCCAGCCATCCTGGATTATGAAGTCAAATGGACCCTAGGAAGCATTACTACAAACAAAGCTAGTGGAGGTGATGGAATTCCAGGTGAGCTATTTCAAATCCTAAAAGATGATGCCATTAAAGTACTTCACTCAATATGCCAGCAAATTTGGAAAACTCAGCAGTGGCCACAGTACTAGAAAAGGTCAGTTTTCATTCCAATCCCAAAGAAGGGCAGTGCCAAAGAATGTTCAAACTACTGAACAATTGTGTTCATTTCGCATGCTAATAAGGTTATGCTCAAAATCCTTCAATCTAAGTTTCAGCAATGCATGAAACAAAAACTTCCAGGTGTACAAGCTGGGTTTAGCAAAGGCAAAAGAACCGGAGGTCAAATAACCAACATTCGTTTGATCAAAGAAAAGGCAAGGAAATCGACAGTGTGAATCACAACAAACTGTGGAAAATTCTTAAAGAGATGGGAATACCAGACCACCTTACCTGTCTCCTGAGAAATCTGTGTGCAGGTTAAGAAGCAACAGTTAGAACCAGACGTGGAACAACAGACTAGCTCCAAATTGGGAAAAGATTACCTCAAGGCTGTATATTGTCACCCTGCTTATTTAACTTATATGCAGAGTACATCATGCAAAATGCCAGGCTGGATGAAGCACAAGCTGGAATCAAGATTGCCAGGAGTACTATCAACAACCTTAAATATGCAGATGACGCTATTCTAATGGCCGAAATTAAAGAACAACTAAAGAGCCTCTTGAAGAGGTGAAAGAGGAGAGTGAAAAAACTGGCTTAAAACCAAGCCATCATTCAGAAAGCTAAGATGATGGCATCCAGTCCCATCACTTGACAGCAACTATAAGAAGAAAAATTGGGAGCAGTGACATACTTTGTTTTCTTGGGCTCCGAAATCATGGTGGACGGTGACTGCAGCCATGAAATTAAAAGACTCTTTGGAAGAAAAGCTTTGACAAAACTAGATACTGTGTTAAAAAATAGAAACATCACTTTGCCAACAAAGGTCTGCACAGTCAAAGCTATGTTTTTTCCACTAGTCGTGTACAGATATTGAGAGCTGGACCATAAAGAAGGCTGGGTACCAAAGAATAGATGCTTTTGAATTGTGGTGCTGGAGAAGACTCTTGAGAATCCCTTGGACTGCAGGAATATCAGATGAGTCAATCCTAAAGGAAGTCAGTCCTGAATTTTCAATGGAAGGACTAATGCTGATGCTCCAATGCTTTGGCCACCTGATGTGAAGAGCCAACTCATTGGAAACGACCCTGATGCTGGGAAAGACTGAGGGCAAGAGAAGGGGACAACAGAGGATGAGATGATTAGATTGCCTGATGGACTCAATGAGCATGTATTTGAGCAAACTCTGAGAAATAGTAAAGGACAAGGACGCCAGGCATGCTGCAGTCCACGGGGTTGTAAAGAGTCAGACACGATGTAGTGACTGAACAACAATAACAACACCTCAAGGAGAGGAACTCTTCAGCATTTTCTGTAAAAAAATCTACAGCATCTGCCTTTAAAAATAAACTTCTCTTTACCTTCTGTGGAATTTGGAAGAAAGGATAAGTGCTTCTTCAAAGATCAACTTTATTATTCTTCCACAAGTTTTCTAAGATTTTTTTTTTTAATATATGCTGATTGCAAATATTCTCTTTGGCCTCAGTAAATGCAGTCAAAACTAAGTGGCTGCATTTTAAAGACAAACTGGTTATATATATATATATATATACACGCGCGCACACACACACACATATGTAAAGTGCAACATTAAAAGATTTTTTATTTATTTGGTGTGCCAGGTCTTATTTGCAGCACATGGAATCTTTAGTCGTACATGCAGTCTCAGTTGCGGGCTGTGATTATCTACTTCCCTGATGAGGGATTGAACCCAGGCCCCCTGCATTGGGAGGGCAGAGTATTAGCCACTGAACAACCAGGCAAGTTCCCAAAATGGTTATATTTTAAATCATCTCAATAAATGTTTCTAATTATACAAGATTATCAAATTATATGACTTAAAGGACAGTGTGTAAAATTATAATTATTTTTGGCCTAATTATGAATGAATTTTGCCTCAAACTGAAAAGTAATGATCTTATTGCTTCATAATAAATAATAAAAATAATTTTTGTCTAAGCAAATAAGCTGAATGGAGACATGTTTTTTTATTTTACTTTATATGTGATGTTACACCTATTAAAAAGTTAAGTAAGTGATATTTTCCCTCATATTATGAAATAGAATATAATACCCATCAACCTCTTCAAGGAATCAGAAAGGCATGATAGTATGAACTGAGCTCTGAGGAAACACAGAAAAGCTTCTAAATTCAGAAACAGTCAGGAGAGTTTCTTTTTTATCGTCTCTGTCCACTTTTACTGTCTGAAGTCATTATTCCTTTTTTTTTTGTCCCTTTCTTGAAAACAGGAAAAAACAGTGCTTCCTAGCAGCCCCTTAGGGAGACTTGGTTTAATTAGAGTCTAAAAAGCGTATTTGAAAATGAGAAATATTAAACCAGAAATAATTTGTGAAGTGTTTTACCCCAATCTATGTATGACATGTAGTTGGAAAAAAAGAGGGGGGTGGAGTAGAACAAGAAAAGTAAAGAAATTGGGAAAATATTAAACCTAGTGGTCAATTATCAACCACAATCAGGAATAGGAGTTCCCTGGGCACCACTCAGTGGGAAAGGGTGTGAGGCCTTGTTAGCCATTGCACTGTTGTTCTGGAAAATTCAAATTAAACATT